TGTGTAAATTATTTGTTCATTAATAAATTAAAAACGAAAGAAAATAAAATAAATCTAATAAAATTCTTTTGCATTGATAATTAATAAATTCTAATAAATTTATTACTTCGTAATAAATTGCTATTTCAAATTCGTACATGTTTACAAGTTAAACATTTTAAGCACTTTCTCCAAAAATAGGCAAATACTTGAGGTGACACGTGGAATACATTGATTTGAAAGTAGAATTAAATAGGACGTATTACATGGATAAACATTCTTCTACTTGTTTTTCAAATAAACTTTGAATTATTACATCCGAGAATAATGTATTCTTCTTCAAAGTTTTCTAAATATATTACTCTGCAAAAAAGCATTAAGTTTGATAAAAAACAAAATACTTGCAAGATAAGGAGTTAAGAATAATAATTTTAAGAGGATTGGCAAATTTATAAATTGTAACGTTTTAAACTAAATTTCTATCTGCATTGTATGCAAAATGCGAATCTTAGATGACCTAAAACTCGGCACATTTAGTAATCAACATTTCTGCTGAGTGCGGTCATTTCTTAGTGCAATATTTTAATGACTGCGCTAATTCACACTTTCGTTATGTGTTCCGTGAATAGGAAGAAATTAAGGTGAAACGTAGTTTCATACGGTTAAATTTTCCATTGCATTATTCTCATTTTGAAATGGCTTCTATAATAGCGCATAATATGAGACACTCCGTATAATAACACTATGATTAACATAACAATAATTTCTACTTATTTGAGAAATTTTATTAAACAATTGTTCTTTCATCGTAAAATAAAAATTGTACATATATTTTAAAAATATTTATCTGTATTAATAATTTATTAATAATTTACTTTTCGTTACTTGTAGATTCTAATTTTTACTATTTTTAGGTTCCAAGCATCTTTATGCAAATTTTTTTATTATTCGTATCCATTTATAATAATTGTTTGTTATTTTTAGATTTTAAGTTCAAATTTGACGATAATCTAGCAATTTTTTATTTACTGAAAAATCGGTTCTCTTTCTGTGATTTTCCAATTATTATCTTTTCCATAATACGTAAAAGGAAAGATTACGTTAAGACTGCAATATCAATTACTCTCAATCTTACCCCAAAGCTACGATTACCGCCATCATTGTCATCGGATAACTGCAGGTCACCGGCACAATTGTCGCCATTGATCGCTATCTCGATTGTTACTTCAAACGTTACATCACTATAATTATGGATATTAAAGTTTTTAATGATGGTACAGTTTTCTGAGCCACGTTGAACAACTACTGAACGGACGCTAAACTTTTAACAGTAATAATTGAAACAAATCTAGAACATTTATGCTATTATGAAGCATTTGTAATGAAATAAAAAATCAGAATAATAGACGTCGATAATAGTAATTTTTTGAGTTACTTAACATTTTTTCTGCTTTTAATAAAGAAGAATAAAACAATAATTATCAAGGAGAGTAGGTTGTAATAGATATAGGTTAGGTCGCAATTTTGCTTCCAGTTTCTTCTCCTCATTCAAGTATGGTTAGTTTCACATTTTATACAAAAAACTTATATGGTTAGTTGTGTATGAAACCGCAATATTTAATTGGGGACGAATGACCGTTTCATTTTTAACAGGAAGTCCATTTCGGCAAAAAAAGGTGATTTTTATATTTCAAGGTATGTAGTATGTGTACGTTTACTCTTCGAAGGACCATTTTACAGTCGACTTTCTCTGGCCCTCTTAAACGAGTGAAAAGGGGCACGAATGTAGTAGAAATTGTAAGCTCACGAGTAATACAATCCACGTGAGAAATTACTGTCGTAGAAAGAAGTGGAAGATTGATTAAACATGGCCTCGGATTGCTACAATTGGAAATGGTTTTAAGATTCTCAAATTTTGCATAGATTCCAAGGAAAGATCTAGAACAGTACAAATACTCTTTACAAATGATAAAAATTTGCAGAACATTTCGAAAAGAATAGTAGCTATGTTTCCATTATTTTTCAATCCAAGATTTGTCGTCATTTTCACGACAAGAAGTTAGCAATCAAATAGAAGATTATTTCCAGCAGGGATATCAATATTATAAAGTTAGCTCAGAACTTTAACATTCCACTTTTCCATTGAGAAAAATCAAAAATTAAGCTCAGACTCTTCACCTAGATATATTCCAACCCATTTTATCCATACTAGATATGGCAACCTAACCTCCAAATCTCTCAACAAAATCTATCGATAAATAAACGGACAATCTATTAAGAGAAAAATATAAACTAATCAACTACGAAGGGTATAGGTGAAGTGGTATGAATGATACACAATATTTTATGTAAAAATACATAAAAAAAGCTTTATTTCGCCACCGTTTTCTTGCAAAAAGTAACGTATAAAAAAACTTTTAATCCTAATCGTCGTCGTCGTCGTCTTGGTTATCGTGTTCCTAACGTTTGTTAGAACCACCACCATCATCATCATCATCATCATCATCATCATCATCATCATCATCATCATCATCATCATCATGGTCGTCATGATCGTGGTCATCATCTTCGTCGTCACGGTCATCCTCATGATCGTGGTCGTACTCTTAAAATTCTTGCTAATCGTGTAACTCCGATTCACGAGCAGGAGCCTCATTTCACTATCGATCGTCCATTCGATTGTCCTGTTCCTGCTCGTCACCGCGGTCGTCCACGTGGGATCACAGTGTGTTGCGTCCAATAGGATCGCCGTTGAGCCGTGGCTGAAGCCGTGGCTGAAGCCGTGGCCGAAGCCGTGAATGCGTGCGTGTCGCGGAGCGTAGAGATGGGTTCGATTGCGGGTAGAGGAGGAGCTGCGGGGGTTCAACGGGCTATTTGAGTGACTAGTAAGGCCCTGAAGCGCCGGGTGCCCCGTAGGACGAGCTGGGTCCACTTGGGCCGCTGCTTCCA